ACCCTCGGCCCGAGCCGCGAGGGAAGCGCAGCCTCGGGCCTCCCCCGGGCCACGCGACCCCTTCCGGGCTCTCCCACGTCTGCACTCTCCCCACCCCAGCCACGGCCGAGGCTCCAGAACCCACGCCCTGCCGGCCCCGATTTGCTGAACCACCCACCGCGTGGCCTCATCCTCACCTGCACAACCCTGGCGGGGCCTGGGCGCGGGCCGTGGGAAGCCGGCTCAAGAGTGGAGACCCTGGCCCCCTACTTTCAGGGAAAACGGCTCCATCTCTGGTGACTTCCTGCCCAGCAGCGCGTCTCCAGCTCGGGGTCGCGCCAGGCTCAGCTCGGTTCTTCTCCCAGCTTTGCCCCGTTCTGCAGGTGCGAGCAGGGCGCGCTCATTGTTTCAGGTCATCTCCCCACAAACTCCCCTGGGAAGAAACGCTCACCCCCCATCCCTTTCACTCTCTGCTATACATGGTGGCCACCTATGCGCTCCCCCGTGTGGTGGCTCCGCCCTCCACGTAGTCCGCCCTCCCTCAGTGCAGCCCAAGGAGGGGCTGCAGCTCACTGTTGGAACAGTGGTCTGTTAAAGTGAACAAAAAGTGGGGAGGAGCCACTGCAGCCTTCATAGAATCCTTTTCCTGATACAGCCACAGCAAACAATGCGGCCTGGTTGAGGGGCTGTTGACTGAGCTCTTCTGAGCTGTTAGAGAAGGAAATTCTAATCTACCCACCCGCAAAGGGCGAGTGAGCAGGGCCACTAACACAACTCCTGTGGCCGGGCCTAGCCTTCAGGGGCAGTCAGAGGGCAGTCGGTTCTCTTTGTCTCCTCTCCACGATCCCTAGCAAAAGCGGCCCCATCCCACTGCTCCCTTCCACATCCCTCTTACTCCAACCACTGGCTTTTCTCAAGCCAGGGTGCCCCCCTAGGTTGCCCTCGGAGCCCTCCCTCTCCCACGCCTATCCAGGGGTTACATGGAGCTCCTGAATGGATGAGTTGTTGCCACTGAGAAGTCTAGGGACATCAGGGCAGCAGAGGCACTACAAATCCCAGAAGCCCCCGCACCCCCAGCTCTCCACTTCCTCCTGTTAATAAAGGCTGCTACTCAAAAGCATCATCAGAACGAGTTTGGCAAATGATTTTAATATACAAAACAACAAATATAGATTCACAGCATTTAAAAAATCAAATAACCTTGTAAATAATTTTTTTTTTTTTTACAAAAAAACTTCAACAAAAATACATATCAAGTTACATCAGTCTTGTACATCATACTTCGGCTGCCAACAGCGAATTTCTCAGTTCAGAAGTCCCATCCTTTGACCTATACAGATGACACATCATCTTGAAGTTAACGAGCTAAAATGTTGCCCAAAGTCTTGCAAAGTAGGTTAGCAAGTCATATACAATGGACACTAATATTTACAAAAAAGATTAGAAAGGTTAAAAGTATTTTCTAAATATAAAATGTCAGTGCCTGTGAGATAACTAAAGGCAACAATGTAAAGTATGTTGTAGGTAAGTAAACTTACATCAAATATTTAAGCTTTTGCTTTTTTTTTAGATCAGTCATGTTCCACTTATTTTTCCAAAGCCTTCTGAAATCCACTTTCATTGCATCCTGAAAACAACAATAACAGCCAAGGGAAACTTTAATAAACTGATTTGCAGATTAGGTTATTATGGAAAAGCTGGGTCTGCTAGGAAGTTTCACCTAGTTGACTTGGGTCCCGCATTTCTGGCCTGTGAGCTGGTGAAAGAACATTGATTCATAGTTCTTGACACTGTCGTTTGAGGGACCTTCTAACTTTCTTCTCTCCCTGACAAGTAATAGAGCAGAAATACTCCCCCGAACTCCAGTCATTACGCTGTTCCATTCTGGCTAGGACACCAAGTTGATTTGTATGAAGGAGTATCAGCAATTTGGCTTGCAGAGATTTCCACCTGGTAAAACGCTGGTTCAGCTGGCTTTTACAAAATACTTCTATTGTGAACCAAATTTTGAATTAAATGCACTTTTGCTTTATGTCTAGGTAACAGTCATGTAGGATGGGGGGATTTTCTGAATAAGAATGGCATCGGTTTTCATCTAGGCTAGGTATAAAAAAGGCACGATATTCAGAAATAGTGTTTGATGGTGAAATGTTTTCAACTACAAAATCAGATCTACAGTGGGAAACACAAATCAGATCGAATGAAAAGCAGCCACGTGGCTGGTATCCCAGGGAAGCTCTGGCACACTACTGCTGCCCTCTTCCCAGTCTGCAGGCCAAAGACAAAGAAAGCTACTGCTCCAGGATTCTGCAAACATTCCATTTTATGATTTTATAATTGCTTATACTCTACTGCAGGGTTTTTATATGTTTTAGGTATGATCACAATTGAAAAGGCTGCTTTTGACCCAAGGTTACTTCAACCGTCTGCTAACGAAGTCGACAAATTTTCAAACATGAAGAACGGAATAGGTGAAATTCCTCAAAATGTTATGTCATCTTTTTTTTTTTTTTTTTTTTGGCCCATCTATAATATTATGTAATGTAAGGTTAAAAAGAGAGAAAGGCAGAGAGGCTGGAGACAGCAAGATTCCTGGTGAAATTCATACAGTGTCCATGGAGGCGGCTCTCTGTTCCCTTTTTTTCCAAGTGGAACACGTGACTCAAATCAGAAGGAAGTTTGGCAAACGGAAAATGAGAATACTCGAGCCTTCTATTCTTTGAGGAACTCAGGCAGGTGGTAATAAAACCCAAGCCAGACATGCGGATTTTCTTTTTTTTTTTTTTTTTTGAGACGGAGTCTCGCTCTGTCGCCCAGGCTGGAGTGCAGTGGCCGGATCTCAGCTCACTGCAAGCTCCGCCTCCCAGGTTTACGCCATTCTCCTGCCTCAGCCTCCCGAGTAGCTGGGACTACAGGCGCCCGCCACCTCGCCCGGCTAGTTTTTTGTATTTTTTTTTAGTAGAGACGGGGTTTCACTGCATTAGCCAGGATGGTCTCGATCTCCTGACCTCGTGATCCGCCCGTCTCGGCCTCCCAAAGTGCTGGGATTACAGGCTTGAGCCACCGCGCCCGGCCGACATGCGGATTTTCCAGAAGACAAAGGATGTTGTAGCCTTTTAAAAATGTTAGCGGTTTTCAAAATCACCTGAACGTCGAAGTAGGATCTACCCAGGAAAGATCTTTAATCGAGTGACCCTCATACTGTATAAAACTGACCGGGGCAATGAACGGAACCTGATTTAACAAAAACATGTCCTGGTATTCATGAGTCTCTGTTAGGAAGTCCATGGAGGTAGGTGGGAACCGGAAGTCAGGGCTCAGCTGGAAAATAAATTAGGACTCGCCACAAAATGCAAAGCATTTCTTCATTACCCATGAATAAATATTAGGAAATGGAAGCCCTAAGGATGACTCTTAAACTGAATCCTCACTGAAAATGTAACATAAGCAAATGATTCTCTTTACTTCCTTAAACGAATTCTCTTATATTACATTTAAAATAATTTGTTCAAAATTGCTGTACATACAAAAACAACCCTAGCAGAGACCCCTACAGTTATTGCTAGGTGTGCAGGAAAAACATATTAAGTATAGTTTCCAAAATATATCATTGTATTTTGTTAGTAAGAAGGTCAGTTCTATAAACACAACTAAAGTTGGAATGTCTGTTCAAGAAGGAAACGCACACCCACCCCCACATGCCACAGGACCCCCCCAGAAACTCCTTCCTGCAGCCACTTCAGTCTCAGGACACGCTGCGCGGCATGATGGTCCACAGAAGCGACTCAGGGGCTGCCAGCCACAGGGCACCTGAACCCTTAGCAATGCTGCCCATAAGCACGTGTGTCAAGGTGGCTCAGAACGGACATCAGCCGTCACAGAATGTTCCAAGGCTTCACCCGAGAGGACAAAGGTTATGTTTTCTTGATTCAGGATGTCACCCCTCAGGAATGGCTCTGGATGTGGGGGGCTTCAGGGGAGAAGGGAGGCGCCACACACCTGCAGACTGAAGAATACACCTTTGTCTCTGACATCACAGACTTGTTTATTCTCAAACATGGGCCTGTTAGAAAAAAAACTTTGCAGGGATTGCATACAAAAATGAGCTTCTCAAATAGAAATCCATTAACAGTGTAACACAGTATCTCCTGTCCAGGGCACTGAGCAGGTTGAAAGGGCATCTCTGCTGCAGAGCCTGCCTTCTCTAGACATAGTTAAAAGTTATGTCATGAAAATGTACAACACAAAGAAAAGGAGGTGATTATCTGCAGGTGTCAGCGCGCATGGCCTTTGTTAATAAAGACTGCTCTCTCTGAGCCAAGATATTTTGTGAAGGTCTCTCTTGTAAAGAACAAGTCCTCAGAAGCCTGATGACATGCTCAGGTGACACAGTTATGCCCTACTGTTTGGCTTTATGTGATAAAGGCAGCTTCTGATTCCCAAGAAGCAGGACTGCTTTGCCTGTCTTTGCGATTTCACTGGTAAGGACGATGTCGGGAGCAGTGCGGCTTTTTGAGAATGCCTTCTGACCAGTGCATTTTCATATTCACTGTATCATAAATATTAGAGTAAATGAGCTTTTTATATTGCAAACAGTTGTTTGAATGGCAGTTTTTTTTTCTTTTGGAGACATAGAGTCTTGCTCTATCCCCTAGGTTGGAGTGCAATGGTGCGATCTCAGCTCACTGCAACCTCTGCTTCCCAGGTTCAAAAGATTCTCCAACCTCAGTCTCCCCAGTAGCTGGGATTACAGGCATGCGCCACCATGCCCAGCTAATTTTTGTATTATTAGTAGAGACTGGGCTTTGCAATGTTGGCCAGGCTGGTCTTGAACTCCTGACCTCAGGTGATCCACCTGCCTTGGCCTCCCAAAGTGCTGGGATTACAGGCATGAGCCACCGTGCCCAGCCTTGAATAGCATTTTCTTAGGTTACAGTATGTGGGCAAGACGTGATTTCTGCTCGGAGTTACTCAAGACGTGCGGGCAGGAGGGAACCGACTCCGGGACAAAGCCAGTGTGCAGGAGGATTTCTCCCTCCTTGCCTGAAAAGCAGTGGATTCTTGAGGATGCGTAAGTTGCTCTGCACTGAGGACTGCGAGGAAGGTGACAGATGCCTCTTGTTTCTCTCCCCTTCGCTTGCAGGAAGAGGAACCTTGCAGGATGACGTCTGTACTACCATTTAGCATCTGTGTGGACAATGCCAGGGAACACCGTGGTCAGCTCCACGGCAGCTGTACGTCCCCCCGTGTTACAGAAGAGAGTAAGAGCTCAATTTCTAAGTGTGACCAGACATGTGCAGCATTGTGTCAACCCTGTCTTGATGACATCCTTGAAAATCAAACGCCGAAGCGATCCTCTAACCTCGTCACCCCGTAGGAGCTGCAAAGCCCTGGATGCTGTGTTTGGACCAGAGGCAGCACTTGCTCACCATCAGCAGGGGTGGCTTCAGCTCCTGCCTCACCACTCACTGTAGAGCACGGTACCGGGTCCCACATCTGGGCCATCTCCTAGCGGGTCACGGGTGTTTCTGTGTAGTTTTGATAAAGCTTTGTGTCATGACCATCTCCTCCCTTCCACAAAGGCAGCTGGGTCTCCAAAGACTGAAGGTGATTCCAAGACCTTCTCTCCTTCATTGATCCCAAAAAGGAAGTTTTTATCACTGGGTCCAAGAAACCTTCCCTGGATTGAAGCACACAAGAAACAAAGACAGTTCTCCTCTTGACACCCAGCTCCGTGGAAGCACAGCCTCCTGTTTTCATTTCCGGAAGGGGGTGAGTCTGTTGAAGGTGTGCCAGAAGAGTGAGGGCTTCCTTTTGGGTTCCGCCAGGCCAAATACCTGCTGCTGGGGTACGCTTGTGGGCATAGTGATGTGGCGCTGGTGGATGGGGTGCAGGCTCTGGTGCGGTGGGGCCACGGGGCACCTGTTGTAGCCTGACTCGGGAGGGGAGAGAGATGGAACAGGGACTGAGGGTCACTTGTTAACCAAAAAGGAAAAAAATGAAAATGCTGAGACTCCAAGTTCTCAGCTAATTCCTTTTTTTTTTTTTTTTTTTGAGACAGGGGCTCACTCTGTCGCCCAGGCTGGAGTGCAGTGGTGTGATCTTGGCTCACTGCAATCTCTACCTCCCAGGCTCAAGCGATCCTCCCACCTCAGCCTCCTAAGTAGCTGCACCTACAGGTGTGTGCCACCATGCCCAGCTAATTTTTGTATTTTTTTGTAGAGAGCTAATTCTTAATTCACATTAACCAAAAAGAAGGTCCAGTAGCTATGCTTGCTATGTTCAGGTACTCCGTGTGGAGCTTGACACAGTCTCTGTCACTGAAATCTCCCAAAAAGCCTCCAAGGACGGTATTATGACAACAACTAGACAGGGAAAGAAACTGAATGCCAGGACACGCAGTGGGGAGTGGCGGAATCCGAGCCAGACTGACGGTCACGGTGAATAGCAGTAAAACGCTCTAAATGGAAGTCTGGAGCTCATGCTACCTCGGCCCAAATTCTCCTGTGCCATTTACCGGCTGGGATTACTGGGGAAATTATTTGATTTCCCTACCTCTTGGTTCCCCAATCCCTAAAATGGGGATTACAGTACTATGGGGTTGCTATGGGAATTAAATGAATTAATAGAAGTAAAGTGCTTAGAACTGTGCCCCCAATACGTAATCACTCTAATCAAAACTTCACTGGCCTAGGTATTTTCCATCTGTGCAGAGGTAATTTAGAAGGTTTATTAAGATTAGTGATTAGATCTAAAGGTAACTGTGTAAGTCAGCATGGCACGAAGAGGGTGGGCTCTGAAAGCAGGAAGGCCTTGGTTCAGAACCCACCCCTGCCCCTGACCTGCCAGAAGGCTCTCCCTATCTCCCGAGGTGGCAGGAAGGAAGAAATCAGATAACGCAGGCACCGCGTCCCACCCGGTGGCCACCCGTGAATGTCAGCAGTCCTTCCGTTCTGAGGAGCCCGGCTGCGGGGTGAGTGACTCTCAGAAGATACGGACAGAAAACAATGTATTCTGACAAACTGATTTACTAGTAACCTGACATTAGAAGTGGAGATTTTAAAAAAGTAATAACATGGGTTTTTCTGCTTTAAAGATACTTGTAACTTAGTGGGGAAAATAAATTCTGCATTTGCACAAAGAAAGCAGTGGAGTGCTCAGTGTGGTCTGGGGAAGGAGCTCCTCCTGGCCTTGCAGTCAGTGGCCTGCTGCAATCCTGGGATTCACTGGTCCTTGCTTTTGCATTTGCAGTCAGGAAAATATGAACAGAGATAAATTTCACAGGGTAATCCCTTTTACAGTAGAAAGATGACTGGAATAAAGTTTCTAAGAATGCAGTGCATATTTTTTGGGAAAAATCCTTATTAGTGAATTCCTGCCGGGCCAGATATCTGCATTACCAGCAGCGTGGACAAATCCTAGTTCATCAGAGCCCTGGGTACGCAGCCTGGGCATTTTTGAACAGCTGCCCCGGGAATTCTTTTTTTTATTATTTTTTTTGAGACGGAGTCTCGCTCTGTTGCCCAGGCTGGAGTGCAGTGGCCGGATCTTAACTCGATGCAAGCTCCGCCTCCCGGGTTCACGCCATTCTCCTGCCTCAGCCTCCCGAGTAGCTGGGACTACAGGGGCCGCCACCTCGCCCAGCTAATTTTTTGTATGTTTTTTAGTAGAGACAGGGTTTCACCGTGTTAGCCAGGCTGGTCTCGATCTCCTGACCTCGTGATCTGCCTGTCTCGGCCTCCCAAAGTGCTGGGATTACAGGCTTGAACCACTGCGCCTGGCCTGCCCTGGGAATTCTAATGTGCGTGGAGGCTAGGGGATCACTGCCCTAAATCAGCTCATGTGTCTTTTTTGGTCTAACTCCTTGCCTGATGTACCGAGCCTTTACATCTTTTTCTTACTTAAACTAGACTATATCCAGCCTACAGCTGACCAGCAGTTTGGGGTTTGAGATTTTGTCCTCTCATACCTAAAAGAGGCACGAGGCCTTGGTTTGCCTGAGACTGGTGATGTGCGTGACCCGGTGGCTAACACCATCAGCACTTGGGGGAGGGGAGCAGAGGGGCTGCCGGCGGGCAAGGAGGTCTGCCACGCTCTGGCGGAACCTCTGAAGGTTTCCTATGCCCACATCCCAATGGGAGCAAACACTGACGCACATTCAAAACCAAAAACAGGCCACCTTCACCTGCCCCCACTTCTGAACCTGCCCTTGAGTTCTAACTTCTACTGTTCTCCTTACTCCAAGCTGGTCACAGGCTGACAACCTGGGGTATGCTCCCCATTTTCAGAAGAATATTGGTAAGCATTAAGGAGACAAAGCCTTCTCCATAACTTACCTTTCGACTTTCCATGTCCTGTCTTTTGAGCATTTAACATGGCAAGTTTCTTCTGGTTTTCTGAAATTTCCATTCCTGCATTTAGAAATAAATGCGACATATATTCAGAACACGTGGACATGTTTCAGAGCAAAACTTGCATCACAGCCCATATCACCATTGACGTTACCACCATAACCTGAGACCAAGAACCTTAATCCTCAAAGAACCTGGACAGGCTGAAGACCAGCAAAGGGGAAGTCACAAGGATTATCGCCAAGGTGGCCATGTGGTTGTCCTGCAAACCCGGAGAGCTTGGAGAGTGAAACGGGGTGGTGCCCACGAGAATGCAGGATGTCTGTGTGAAGCCCGACGCTCCTGGGCAAATGTTCACACAGGGTCATCCCAATTATAACCTAAAGGATGAGGCCCCAGAAGGAGAGCACAGAGCAGAGTCCCAGGGCCTGTTCACCCACACGCTACGAGAGCTTTGCACGCTAGCAGTTACACCCTGAACAAAGGTAGCATGTGAGTAGCAGGAACAGGATTCCGTACCCCAGCTGTGTGCAGTGTGTGCCCTGAGCGTTCCCTCACTGTCAAGTCCAGTAGTACAGTGACAGTGTACGTGTGCAGTGCGCGAACTGGGTGAAACAAGAGTCACCGGAAAGACAAGACGAGGCAACCCTTGGCTTCGCAGGATGTGGGGAAGGAGAAGGAAGGACAGAGCTGAATCGCCAGGGCTGGGTGCTGGGGCCCTGCCTTTTCCTGAGGGAAGCCTTCCTCCTGGAGACAGGTGCTCGCTCCAGCTTGGCAGAGGTGACCCAGGCCCTGCGTCTGCTAGCTCGCACTGCCTGGCTCACTCCCGAGGTTCCCTCTCTACCTCTGCCCACTCTGCTCCCCTGGCCCTGACTCCTTCACATGCCCAGTATCTGTCCCTGAATGTCCTGATGTCGGGCTCAGGCTCTGTTTGCTGGCCACTGGGCTGTCCCTGCCTCCAAGGCCCTTCGTGTCCATTCTCTCTGACCTGCTACATGAAGTATCTACCCACACACATGCATCAAGCATGAGGGCTGACAAAACATTCCAGGCAAGGAACGCATCCAGTTTTATCACACATGCGCCAGTTCCCAGACTTACTGGCTCAGGAGTGCCTCAGTCATACACTCGCGTCCTCTGACCACTGGCCATGGGGAGCATCACACGGCAAAGGGCATCACGAGGCCCCTCCTTTCCTTTCTTTTGAGAGACACTGTTGAAAGGGTGTAGGATGCCCCCACCCCCTGCCCCCCAGCAAATAGTGCCGTCTTCAGAACCCAAACACTCTGACTTACAGATGACTTCAGGGCCTGCACTAGACAACATCATATGACGAGTAAAACTAAGATTTTGTGGCTCTGTCGTTTTGCATTTTAATAACTGTCATCTTTGAATGAATTCTGGGCACGAGAGTGATTAACCCTATTCCAGTGGGGCCCCAGAGTCTGCACCAATAATCTGTGGCTGTTGCTGGGAATCAGATTTCCTTTTAGTCTAAAGGACACCCCGACACTTGGTGTAAGGGGCTGCCTGTGATGTGGGGAGCTCTGTATCTTAGAGTGGCCCAAATCCAGGCCAACGTCCACCCACTGAGTGTTTCCAAGGAGATCCCTGCTTCCGCTTTAGCCTGACCAGCTTGTAAATCCCTCCAACTCTACTGCAGAATCTCACAAAACCTCCTGTGGGTGAGACCAAATTCCGTCGCCAAGCTTAGAGCCAGTGGCTGGGGAGGACAGAAAAAGCACTTCCTGGTTTTCAGTTCTGTCCTCATGGCAGTGGGCAAGGATGGGGAGGGGGGTACGCTGGCTCCCCTCCATCCTGGAGCACGACTTTTGAGGGCTGGGCTCACTTGGGCTGCAGAGATAAATATCCTTCACTGTGGCACCCTGACTTCCATTCAACAGATTGTGCTCAAAACCCTAAAGAGTTTCGGAGGCAATGAAATAGGGGCTCAGAGACTATGGGTGCTGCCATCATTAATGCCAGGCATGGCAGCTTCGTTCTCAGGGGCCACACAGCACCACCAGGTCAGCAGAAGCTGGGAAGACAAACCAAAGACGTACAAATGTAACACTGGGTGTGAAGGACCATCGCCTTAACTGCAATGGACGACGGGTGTCCTGAGTTTCATAGGGAGAGATGGGCAGCATGTGGGCAGGCTGCTGGGTGTGGATCAACTGTGGCAGTGAGGCACCCTGAAGGTACTGCACGGGCACAGCCAAAGGGGAGGCCTCCAGCATCACGAGATGATACTTTTTTTTTTTTTTGAGATGGAGTCGTGCTCTGTCGCCCAGGCTGCAGTGCAGGTGCACAATCTTGGCTCACTGCAAGCTCCACCTTCTGGCTTCACGCCATTCTCCTGCCTCAGCCTCCCGAGTAGCTGGGACTACAGGTGCCCACCACCATGCCTGGCTAATTTTTTTTATTTTTAGTAGAGATGGTGTTTCACTGTGTTAGCCAGGATGGCCTCCATCTCCTGACCTTGTGATCCACCTGCCTCGGCCTCCCAAAGTGCTGGGATTACAGGCATGAGCCACGGTGCCCGGTACACATGATACTTCTGATACCCTGGGTGATGGTCACCATAGTGGGGTTCCATCTCTGGGGTTACGCCGAGCTGGTTTTATTATTTATTCTTCTACCCTGCATGTGGCATCCAAAGTGCTGGATTTAAATGTTATGTGGCCACAGGGCAAGAGTGGGCCAGTGCCATAAGCCTCAATTTTCTCATCTGTAAATTGGGTATAACAGTAACCACTTCACAGGGATTCAATGAGACAATCTCTATAAATGGGCCACGGAATGTCTGGCACAAGGTAAATACTGAACAAATGTTAGTTGTAGTAACGACATCTGACATGGTCTGTCTTGTAAGTACATTCAGAAGTATTTAGGGTTTGCAGATCCCTCGTCTTTTCCCCATGGTGGGATCCAGCTCTGAGGGAGAAGGCTAGGCAGAGTGGGCCCACAGTGGTGGAGAATGAAGCTATTACAGCAAGCAGAGGCAAAGGTGCCTGCAGGGCCAAGGGCTGCTCACCCATCTCCTGGTCCTCCTGCACCCGCCTCCTTTCGTCTGCACAGGCCTGCAGCCACCTTGCCTTGTCTTCTTGTTTTTTGGCACAAAACAAATAAACCTCGTCTGTGGTCCTACTGACGAGCTTGAAGGCATTTTTCACGCTGAGGTTACAGTCCTTGTCGCGCCCATCTCCCAGGTCCACAAGCTCCATCTCATCCATGTCCAGCCGGCCCTTGTAGTACAGCATGTCCCTGCGCAGCAGGTCCTTCTTGCAGGACACCAGCTGGTGGTCAAACAGGAAGAACATCCGCTGCTGGCTTTTGCCTTGCTTAGTGATTTTGGTCAGTTCCCCAGAATGAATCAATTCTGAGCTTCGGTCTAAGATATCCAGTCCCTGGAAGGATGAAAACACATCTTCAGATCTTCCAATTCTAGCACAGCTGTAGTCCTAGCTACTTAGGAAGCCAAGGTGGGAGGATAGTTTGAGACCAGCCTGGGCAACACAGCAAGACCCCATCTCTACATAAAAATTTAAAAATTAGCCAGGCATGGTGACACACACCTGTAGTCCTAGCTACTTAGGAGGCTGAGGCAGGACGATCCCCTGAGCCCAGGAATTTGAGGCTGTAGTGAGTGGTGATCACATCAGTACACTCCAGCCTGAGGGGCAGAGCAAGACCCTTCTCTCTAGGAAAACAAAAAACAAAAAACAAAAAAAATTCCCAATTTGGATTCCTTGAGGTGTTAGGATACGGAAGAGACTCCTAACAGAGAATCTTTCTCAGCCTTTCTAGTTACCTGAGACTGCCCACTACCTGTCCCCATTCACAGCTGGGCAGGGCCTCAAAGGTTATTGTGTCAATAACCCTGGATTTGTTGGTCTCCTGGTGCCTGAAATTTCTTCCTTTTCTTTGTTTTCCTACTCACTAGAAAACTGTGACAGTACCTCTGTGTTAGCTGAGGGGGTCTTCCTTGCCTGAAGCCTCTGGTAAGCAGCATGCTGAATTAATGGAACCCAGTCAAGATCTGAAACAGCAGCTGACCTAAACAGAGCCTCGAAGAATGAGAGCGTGCAGGGTTATACGTAAGGAAGCATTCGTGTAGGGGTACAGGACCGTGATTACGGACCTGACATTATTGTGTTGAGTATACAGCAGCTCCCTGGAATCGCAACTTATTTAGAGTCATGGGAACAAAAGGCCAGACGGGAAACTGTCAGCAAGAAATTAACTTCTGACAAATTATCCCCTAAACGTCAGTGTCCAAAATCAAGAAGAAAAACACACTTTTACAATATTTAGGTTGAATCTAATCCAATGTTACTTTACGGTATTTGGTAGGACACCGGCCTTTGTTAAATAGGATTTGATTCTCCCTTAATCTCAGTCATACACAGTAGTTTTTGGAGACAAAAGAGCCTGACTCCAAAATAGTTCTTCTATTTACTTGCTTAGAGCAATTCTGTGCCCTAGATTCTTCACTTACGAAACAAGAGAGTTGGACTCAGTGTTCTCTGAGATCCTGCCCAAACTCCAGAAGCCTGTAAGACCCCTGAAGTTACGCGTTTCTCTCCAATTTTCACCACCTATAGCCTACTTCAGTTAAAAACCTAACTTCTTGCTCCAAACTTTCTCAGTCCTCTGGGAGAGTGAGTTCTGATCGATTAATAAATGTAAAATCAGTGTAGCTTGGTCTACAAATCTGAATGGCATCTGCTTGTTGTTCCTAATTTAATGGCAGTAGAGGACAGTGGTCACCAACATGGACTTTGAAGCCAGGGTGCCTGCTTGGGTTTGAATCCAGCTCTGCTACTTTCGAGCTGTGTGGTCTTGGGCAAGTTACTTAACCTTTCTGTGCTTCGGTTTTCCCATCTGTTAAATGGGTATAATAATAGTGCTTACTTCACAGGATGGTGGAGAGGATTAAATGAGTTCATATAGGTACAAATGGCTCAGATCAGTGCCATTCAGACACGTGGTAAACACATGCAGGTGCTAGCTATTGTCACTGTTTTTATAAATACAGAGACAGAGAGAGAATTTGTTGGGCCATTATTACAGGCATTGTATTTGTACTCTTTCCTTTTTTTTTTTCTGAGACAGAGTCTTGCTCTGTCACCCAGACTAGAGTGCAGTGGCACGATCATGGCTCACTGCAGCCTCAACCTCCTAGGCTCAAGTGATCCTTCCAACTCAGCCTCCCGAGCAGCCAGGACTACATGTGTACGCCACCACGCCTGGCTGATTTTTTTTCCTTTTTGTGGAGATGGGGTCTTGACAGGTTGCCAGGCCAGCCTCAAACACCTGGGCTCAAGCGATTCTCACACTTTGGCCTCCCAAAGTGCTGGGATTACAGGTGTGAGCCACTGTACCTGGCCTGTACTATCTTATAAAATGCTCACGGTAGCCTTTGAGGTAGGTGATATTTTCCTCCCCAGTTTGTAAGTTAAAAAAATTAATCTTGCCCAGATCACACAGGATTCACATGTGGGCAGGGACTCCAGAGTCCCCCATACGTCTACTACTAAGTTATGTGGCTGCAAATGGAACATCCTCTGTGGTTCTCATGGAGCTCCCTCTACCAGGAGAGACAGAGGCTCCACAATAAACTAACCGCAGATACTCTTCAGACTTTATTTCTTACGGGGGTGGGTATAAAATAGTTGACTGTTAAATTCAACAATATGCCTCAAAACACATTTACCATTAATGGTATATATACCATTAAAGCCAAGAATATGAGGTACTGACCACAGGATATTAAAGTGCGTCTGCACCAGATCAAAGGGGCAGGAGGGGCGAGTGGCGTGGGATCATGCGGGCTGCTTCCCACTTACCTCCCAGCCCACGATGGACATCTGCCAGCGAGCTATCTTGTCGATGCTCTCCAGCTTGCGCTTGCGCTCATTGATCAGACAGGCCACATTCTTCATGGCCTCATACGCTGCCTTTATGTTGCTGTAATCACTGCAAGATGGGAGGATAATTTTCATCACACAACATGCACCTTACAAAGAAGGACTGGCAAAATAACCCACTGGGGCGCTTCTTCATATACAAATGCTCTAGACAAAGTGACATTTACATCGTAGCCGCTGTTTCCCTTTCTTGTTCCCCTGTGAATAGACTACAGTCTGCATAGGTTAAGGGAGCTGACGCAATGCAATTCGGAATTCTTTGGAATAAAAATGTTTTCACTCATTTCCCAGAAATCACAATGAATGACAGTGAATGCCACAAATAAATGTTAGTCACGGTGACAATGGGTGACTTTCATTAATACAGAGAGAACAGTCTTTATCACGGCTCTGATTCTCACACAACCACTCTTGCTATATAAAGTACTTTAAAAATCACTAACCATTTTCAAAAGTGACTGTGTGCTCTGAGTCTTCATCTTTTATGCTGTTCGGGAAAGGACAGGAGAGGACAAGCGCCTGAAGTGGTGAGTTACGGAAATGGCAGTATGGCATTCGCCTCACCAACAGATCTTCCTTTCTGGTGCTTTCCGTCCACCACAGTGACGTCAAGCTAAAATGTTCTCCCCAGGAGGTCCCCGCTCCCAAGCCCACTAAAACTGTAGGCACCGGAAAAGCAGAAACTACAGTTTTAATCTACACACAGGCTAGCACAGAGCACGTCCAGTATCTGCAAGCTTCCCATTCAGGTTTTGCTCAGCGTTAATAATGCAGGGCCAGGGAGACCAACCATCCAGCTAATGAGCTGTATTTTCCACTTTCCCATGGCAACTTACAAGACAGACAGGGCCGCTCATCACAGGCGGAATGAGTTAGAATCCTGCACAGCCATGGGAACGCCTTGAAAGCAGATTCTATTGTCTATTTACCAAACACAGTTCAACCCAGCTCCTGGGAAGTCCCCAGACGCTGCCCACCGAGCAGACCCTGCCATCTTCAGAGAGGCCCATTCACACTCAGAAGCGGGGCAGAGGGCAGGAGCAAGAATGACACCAGGGGCTGCCAAAATAATGGGCACAGAGCCCCCAAAGAGGCCTCCAGCCATGAAGAAAGGGTGCAAAATCCGTTTTTCTGGACAAAACTGAATTGCAATGGTTTTTTAAAAATAATTTTTGCTTTGTTTTACTTAAGACTAGGAAATGGGACTGTCATGTTGACTAATTTTTATTTTGAAAAAACCAAAATCTGCAAATGCTCTTGGTGAAAAATGCCCTTAAAGGAAGAAAATCAACTACTGAAGAGTGAGGTATGGACTTCCGGACCCCGCTTTCCCCTCTCAGAATGTACTAAGCTGCCTGCCCACATCTTCCAAGAAGTCTTTGCTTCTTACCTTTCTTATTAATTGTCTTTGGCTCTGGCTCCTCATCATGCCATCCAGACATTTTCTTAAAAATGTCTTTGAAAATTTGTAGAACATATTTACAATCACAATTTTTTTCCTTCAATTTTGTGGCTTTCTTGACTTCCCTGTTTTTTTTTTCTACTGAACTTTTCTGATTTCTCCATCAGAAAAAAATATATATATAGCTCTCTCTTATCTATCTCAATGAACTCCTTTTTCTAATTCCTTTAGTCCTAACTCTTTAGCTAACACCCATATCTAGTGTCTATGGTTCAGCGACCTGCTCTTATTCTTTACTTTCCAATCTAATTGTAAGAAGGTTCCCCCTGCACCACCCCCTCTTTTTTCTTTTTCTTTTGTGACAAAGTCTCGCTCTGTCGCCCAGGTTGGAGTGCAATGGTGTGATCTCAGCTCACTACAACCTCTGCCTCCCGGGTTCAAGCGATTCTCGTGCCTCAGCCTCCCGAGTAGCTAGGATTACAGGTGCCTGTCACCATGCCCAGCTAATTTTTGCATTTTAGTAGAGATGGGATTTCACCATGCTGGCCAGGCTGGTCTCAAACTCCTGATCTCAGGTGATCCAGCCGCCTCAGCCTCCCAAAGTGGTGGGATTACAGACGTGAGCCACGGCGCCCGGCCAGAAAATTCCCTTTTTAAGTCTGTCTCTCCACAGGAGTTCAGAGGCAGAGAGTACAAAAGAATAATGATTCACTCTCCACTCCCTGCAGGGAGATATTTAGCTGCTAAACCCAGAACTGTTGTGGTTTGCCACAGAAATTTCCTCCTGGCACAATCCCTTCCGTCTTCCTCTTCTCATCAGGACCCTTTGAGATGACCCGCTCCAGAGCTGCAGGTGCAGTTAAAGACCTTGTGTCAGGGGCATGGACCTTGTTTCGATTCTCATCTAAAAGAGTCAGCTTTGGCCTAGACCCCTGTGCCCCTGGGTAGCCTGGCTTGAAGCCGGGCCCACAGCAGTTGTCCTATGACTATCATGTCCCTGCTGGCCAGGTGAGAACTCAGAATGAGCCAAGCACTGCTACCCTGAGGTACCAAACAGCTGGGTGTGCTGTGATGACATCTTCCCGTGGCATGGAGAACGGGCATGCACATTCCCAGGCTGAATGGATGACATGCCTAATGTACAGCCACACAAAGGCTTCTGTGCATGCACGAAATGATGGTTGGCTATTAAGGAAACAAAGGGTAACTTCTGGCTCCCCCAGAAGAGATCATATGGCTAGGGAACAAGGGCCTGAGAGGAATTCAGAAACAACCAAGGCAGATGATAAAGACAGAATGTGTATGTTGTTGCTTTTTGTTCAGGAGAAGCTGAGATTCAAACAACAGAAGGGTGAGTAACAAGAAGAGCTTAGTCAGGCACCAAGGAAGCTCAAAGGGAGACGCAGCATTCAGGTAAGCGTGGAAGCAAGCCCTGTGCTTCCAGCAGGAGGGAACAGGGAAAACACCAGAGAGTCGGCACCCTGGTGCGTAGGAACGGCTCAGGGCCCAGCAGGTGCCCAGTGCCCTGGTCTTCTCAGCTGCCCCATATGGATTCGCACCCCTGACAATCCACACCCTTTTACAGTTCAAGCTTGTGTGTGCCCTCAGCCCTTCTATGTTGCTAAGTAGAGACTGCTTAACAACAAGTAGCTTAGGTAAGTCACCATCAAGTAACGTTTCTGCCATAAAAAATCCTGCTCTGAGCTGAGCTGCGTCAACCTCAGGGGCACAGGACAGAACGGGAGTCATGGCTGTCCATTCACACTGGTCTGTTTCCCTCAGAAACGGTCTTTACTAACCACTGAGTACTCAAAGGCACGTTTATAAAATACAGGTAAGCAACACAAGGAGTAACAATACAACAAAAGCCCCCGTACACTCATGGCACAGCTCACGAATGACCCTTGCGTCGTCACAGCTCTAGGAGTGGATATTCTGGAGCCTCTTCAATCACGCTACTTCAAGAGTTAATTGCACACATTCTAAACGGTCTGAAAACTTCTCCCACGGAGCGCCCAAAGTGTTAAGGCTGACACTGAAGCCCCCCTATCACTGCTGGGGGTGAAGAGCTGCCTACAGGTAAGGGCAGCAGCACCCTCACCCGCCCCCCTCACCCGCGCCCCTCACCCGTGCTCCTGTGTGGTGTACTTGAGCAGCTCGGCCAGCTGCAGCGGGTATTTGCAGATCTTCTGCACCGGTGTGAGCAGGAACCCGTCGATGGCGATGTCAATCATCTGCTGCAGCAGGCGGCAGGCTTCGAAGAAATGTCTGTACTTGCCCTGCTTCATGAGGTTGGCGAGCTCCAGGCAGGCGCCCGGGTGGTTGTTGCAGTACTCGGAATAGATGGCAAAGCCCTCTTGCTGGGAAGGAAAAGCACAGCTTCATCAGCTTCTGGGGTGCCTCTGGGGCATCCTCCCAGCCCTCTCTAAGGGACACTCCTAGAAAGGAGGAAGATGGATGACTGCAAGAAGGACAGGGCATGAAATCCGCTGGCGCCCGAGCTGTCCTGCCACGGTTTCCACAAGCGTTATCTGGTCGGCAGGAAGGGGTGCTTTGGCAGGCTCCTGAGGCGGTTGGGGACGAGGCTGCCCTGGGACTCAGCACCCTGGTCTCCTTCTAGCCTCGCTCGCACTCATCCTGGCAGGTGGGTAGCAGGGCCTCTAACGTCCCCCTCCCGCAAATTTTTTCAACTCAGCTGAAAACCATGTATGCAGTTTTGACGGTTGCTTCTTCTTTGCGGTTTAAAACTAGTCTTGTCAGGTTTTCCTCAAAAATGCCCATTTCAACACACCTCTCTTCCCATTTCTCTGCTGTCACCCTGGCTGGGCCCGCCACGACCCCTTCCCTGGTGGTAGCAGTACTCCCCCGTCCTCACTGTGGGACTTACCTTCCTCAGGCCACCACCCGGCCTCCAGCCTGTCCTAAGGTGGCTCCTGCAGGAACCTTCTGCACAGGCCACACAAGGAGGCCAGTGACAATGTCCCAAATATGCCCAGGTCACACATGGGGCCCAGCCTCCAGCTGACTGACTTAACACAAAAACATTACGCCCAGCCACTTAAAATCTATCTGCCCCAGAGGACTCTAGACAGCTACTGAGCCCAGCACCCAGGAAGTGAAGGTGTGGTGAGGCTGTCATTGTTGTTATTATTACTCTTACCGTTCCTTAGCTATTCGGGCTGGGACTAAAATCTTCCTCTGAAATCTTCTAGCAGTAAGTAGTAATAGTCAATCATAAGTTAAAAAATGATAAATGCATGTTATCACAGGAAGGTTCTGAGGCAGTTACAGTATCACAAGCACGTGTCCTGGAGCCACATGCCCGGGTCTGCCTTCACAGCTGCCTCTTACTGGTATGTGGCCTTGGGTTACTTACTCTCTGGGCCTCAGTTTCCTCAACTAGAAAGTGAGAGATAATCATATCTACCTCATAGCAATATACAAGCCAATATAAGAAAACCCTGGCAACAGTGCCTGAAATGTAACAGACACTTACTGGATATTACTAGGAAGGAGTCCATAGTTCTTACGGCATAACCCTTAGAAATTTTTAAAAAGTAATTACTCCAGATGTAACCCCCTAATTCCAGACTACATAAAAGGGTTTTGAAAAAATGAATTTGGGACATTTAGACAAGATTATACAGATTTCGTTTATATGATAAGCACGTAAGATAGAAGAAACATCTCCTTTCTATGGAAGATTCATCTAGCAAACAAACAATAAAGCTAAAGAGACTCCTGTTGTTCGTGGAGATGCACGTCAAAATTATGTAACCAGATGTTATTAATAATAAAGTAAAGGGTGACGCACATTTTGAAGAAAGCAAGATCCTATTTCACTCAAGTGAGGTTCCTCTTTGTTGTACTGTTTCTCAAGGTCTTTCAGAAACTTTCTTTGGAATTTGTAAATATCTTCAATGTTTCCAAAAATAGTGGCTAGCTGCGCAACAGTGAACATTCCCGTGTGCTTGCGGCACTGTCGGAGATAGCCCTGTAAAATACAGAAGCAATGGTTTTCATTTGGAAATCCAAATAAATTATTTGAATAGTACAGCTTTTGTAGGCCTAAAAACCATGATCTTGGAATGAATTTTAATTAAAGAAAATTATTTTAACCTCTATGAGTCTCTGATGAGGTCATCGTACTTCCGTGACTGCAACTTGCCATAGGTGTTTTAAAATAAAAAGAAAGCAAAAAGGCTCATGCCGTTGGATTTAGGATCCAATAAACCATGTAATGTTTCCAGAAACAAGTTTCAAATACCAGAGCTCAAAAATTGGTGTCGTCACATGTTTTCCAAACTCTTCAGATAATCATTCTCCCAACCCTAATTCCATTTCACAGCCCAGGAGACTTCTCAAATGCAGAATGTCACTGCTTGCTGAACAGCCCACGCAGCTCTGTGCACTGTCCATCAGGGCAAGGATTCCTCTTACTCGAGGATTCCACCAGCACCGCCTTTCTATGGCCAGCACCAATCTGTAGGTCTTTAATCTGAGGCTTGCACTAATTATCTATGTGCAACATCATGGCTACACTATGGCTTGGGTAGGAGCTAGTGGGATGAGAAGAAAAGGCTGTACATACATGTAGCAGCTAACTCAAAAAGAGTTATCATGACATTCAATAGAATGAACTGACCATGGAGTACAACACATACCAATGACTACTTGGTATGAATTTTAACAGGAAAACAATATAATGTAATAGTTCAGAAAAGGACAGGTTCTGGGGCAGACTGCCTGGGTTTAAATCCAACCCCACCACTTAACTTCTCTGTGCCTTGGTCTCCCCATCTGCAATGCGGGTTAACAGGACCTGCCCAGTGAGAATGCTGTGGTAGCCGAGTTAATCCAGGTAAGGGGTGGCAACAGTCAATGCTCAATAATCATGGGCAGTTCCTCTTATTTCCCTAAATACCACCGCAGAACTGCTTCTTTCGCCACACACTCACACAGAATGAGATGGCTGGCACAAAGAAGCTAAACACTGGCCTGTCCACACGGCTGGCGAATCTGATGAGACAACGGGCAGTTCTCTGACTTCAACTTGTCTTCAGCACTGAATGGTCAGCGTTGAATGGATAGTGCAGATATCAGCATTTATAGCTAGAAGAGCCACAATGAGCAGACAGGGCGAACAGCAGTGTAGTGTGATGCTCGTACACAATCCATAAAAGCACAAAATACCACAGGAAGACAAAACCCTTTCAGGTGCACCTCTCCTAATGACAAGCTCTCTGAAATCAGGATAAGACTACAAAATAAAATTTGGTGCCAAGTAGAATAGCATGACACTAGAATATAGCCTCTGATATCACCAATATAAAACTCGCATTTTTTCCCATCTGTGTCTAAATGACTCAGGGTCTCATCTGTGAGTTGGTGATTAGATGCAGTGGGTTGCAGACAGTAACAAACCTTTGACTCTTGGTAAAATCAAGTGAGCATGTGCCTTCTATGAAAGCCATTCTTTTCAAATAATCTCAGGAATTAGGTCCTGACAGAGATAGTTGCAGAGTGCACTTAAGAGAGGGGCTGGGCACACCGGCTCAGGCCTCTAATCCCAGCACTTTGAGAAACCAAGGCAGGAAAATTGCTTCAGTCCATGAGTTTGTGACCAGCCTCGACAACACAGTGAGACCCTGTCTGTATATAAAATTTAGAAAATTAGCTGGGTGTGGTGATGCATGCCTGTAGTCCTAGCTACTCAGGAGGCTGAGGAGGGAGGATTGCTTAAAGCCCAGGAGTTTGAGGCTGCAGTGAGCTATGATCATGCCACTGTACTCCAATCTAGGTGACAGGGCAAGACCCTATCTCTAAGAAAAGCCTTGCCTCTGAAAAGAGACCCTGACTCTAAAAAACCTCCAGCAACAGCTAGGACAGCCGCAGCACTCAGACTTAGCAGTGCAGACAGCAGGGGCGGAGAAACGAGCAGTGGGTAAGTATGTACATGTGGGAGTCTGATGGAGGGGTAGGGGGTGGAGGTGGGGAGGAAGCCCAGGCACCTCAGGCAACCTCGTACTGTGACCCTCAGTGAGGTCCCAGCCTGGCATCCCACCTCGCAGATGTCCCTGAGGTGTTTGATGTACACCCGCTCAGTGTCCATGATCTCCCGGATGACGTTGGTCCGCATCTGCTGCTTGTTCTCGCAGTGTCTGTGGCGGCTCTGGCTGGCCTCCTCGTCCTGCTCCTCACTGCGGGTGCTGATGGAGTTCTCCGACAGCTCTTCCTGATTCACTCGCAACTGCAACCCACACACAGGGGACAGGTGACTTGGGGCAAGGGAGGGCAGCACGGAACAGAGGCAGGAGACCTCCCAGGTTCCTATTTTCCTGTGACCTGTTGAGAAGGCGGCCTGGCCCTCGCCTGAGTCTCATGGCCTCAGCAGGGCTGCAGCTGTGCCAGCAGGCACAAGGACCACAGAGAAACACCGAGCAACTCGCTTGCCTTCTGTTAACATTTTGGCTACGACCCAGCCTGATTTCTTACAGGTGTGACTTGCATGTCAGCTAACCATTACAAAAGAGCTGACCTGATGAAAGGCGAGTTCTGACCCGAAAGGATCCTGCAGCCCCCACAGACACTTTGGAAAAGCTGCAAGCGCCCCACACTTACTCTGACGAAGCTCGCGGGGAACAAGCGCCCCCCACTTACTCTGACGAAGCTGCAAGCGCCCCGCACTTACTCTGACAAAGCTCGCGGGGAACCAGGCCTCCTTGTCCTCACTGCGGCCCCACCACCAGTCCTTGTTGGAAGCTTCCAGAACCTGGATGACATCCCCGGCTTTGAAGCCCAGTTCCTGGTCGTCCATGGTCACATGGTCCCACAGGGCTTCTGCGCAGACCACGTTGCCATCACTGATCAGCTGAAAGGAGACAGTGGGGTGTGCTCAGCATAGAGCACGCGTGGGCGGGAGGGTGAGGGAGCTGCTAGGTGCATTCTCAGGGTGACACTGGTATCCTCTCACTTGGATATGCTGGTGGCATTTGGTCCACACTGACTATGTGACTAGTTACACAAAGAGAACTCAGGAGAACAGACTGGGGAAAAACAAAGTCAGGAGGGGCATCTCTACCTGCTTTTAAAGAAAGCCCTTATACTGGGCGTGGTGGCTCACACCTATAATCCCAGCACTTTGGGAGGCCGAGGCAGGTGGATCACCTGAGGTCAAGAATTCAAGACCAGCCCAACCAAGATTGTGAAACCCCATCTCTACTAAAAATACAAAAATTAGCCAGGCGTGGTGGTGGGCTCCTACAATCCCAGCTACTCAGGAGGCTGAGGCTGGAGAATCGCTTGAACTTAGGAGGCGGAGGTTGCAGTGAGTGGAGATCATGCCAATGCACTCCAGCCTGGGTGATAAGAGCAAAACTCTTGTTTCCAAAAAAAAAAAAAAAAAATTAGCCAGGTGTCCTGGCACATGTCTGTAATCACAGGTACTCAGGAGGCTGAGGCAGGACAACTGTTTGCACCTGGAAAGCAGAGGTGCAGTGAGCCGAGATTACATCACTGCACTCTAGCCTGGGCAACAAGAGCAAAATGCAAGAAAAAAGGGAGGGAGGGAAGGAGGAAGGCAGGAAGGCAGGCAAGCCCCTTTTTAAAAAAAAAAAAAAATTTTTTTTAAGTTGCTCACTTAGCAGCAGGTCAGTTATCTAGCAAACTTCAATTCTGAAATTTTTTTTCCAAAAATGGTTTCTGGCAACCATACTAGATGTCACAGAGCCAAGCTTACTAAATTTTTTTACATATGCTACTGGAAGTCTGTCCCTCACATCTCCCTCCCGTGTGGATCATTCATTTTTTTTTCACAATGCGAGTAAGCTTTGCATCTAACTTTACACTTTACAGCAATTAAAGATTTTTTTGCATGATCCTGAGATCGTTAACAATTAAACAGGAACAAATGTGGCTCCTTCAGCCACCGGTCACGGGAGCAGGTGATTCCGCACATCTCCTTAGCGGCCAACAATACACATCACTGGCGATCTCGGTAGAGACACTGACTCACTGAGGAGTTATGCTCCACATGTTCTGCTCAAGATTTTTTTAAGCTGGAGGTACCTTCCAGAATGATTTCCTAAAAAAAAAGCTACAGCTGCAGGGTGGCCAAAGGAACACCAGATTTGGAGGGAGAAATACATGTGTACCTCCAGCTCTGCCATTTTTTTTTAAGTAATTAGACATGTTTCCTCAGGGCGTTGATGAAAATGTGGATAATACCCATTTTTTTTGCTTCTTAGATCAGTTGTGAGACTGATACGAGATACCGGAAGGGAGGGTATTCTTTCATCAAATGGAAAGCACTGGCCGAACACTGATGGGGAGCTGCTCTTCTTTACCTAAAAAGATGAGCTGCCTCTACCCCGAAAGCTTAATCCCACACATTTTCCTGGATGAGGTCAGAGAATTTTTTTGTTGTTCTTTCTTTATTTTTGAGATGGAGTCTCGCTCTTTCGCCCAGGCTGGAGTTTTTTTGTGTGCTCTCGGCTCACTGCAACCTCCGCCTCCCAGCTTCAAGCAATTCTCCCTTTTTTTTCCTCCCAAGTAGCCGGGTTTACAGGTGCGCACCATCACGCCTACCTAATTTTCTGTTATTTTTAGTAGAGACAGGGTTTCACTATGTTGGCCAGGCTAGTCTTGAACTCTTGACCTTTTTTTATCCACCCTCCTCGGCCTCCCAAAGTGAATCACAGTGTTGTTTTAATCAGAGTTTTTTTTTTTTGGACATGCTTAGTAAAGAAGAACTAGAGAACAAAGTCAGAAGTGGCTGTGGTTTTTTTAAATCAGGTATCCCGTATCCACCACTGTCATGTGGAATTCCAGTACCTCATTGATGGCCAGCTGCTCCCCGCCGGGCTGCAGGTACCGAGGGCTCGCCTGGCAGAGGTCCTCATAGCTCAAGTCCTCCTCACTACCGTTGTCATCCACTAAGGCAGACGGCTCAGTTCCTCCATCTTTTTTTTCTAAAACATACAAAATACAAAAGGCATGATTTAAAAGACACAGCTAACAAGATTTTTTCATATGATGAAAAAATTTGGTAATATACTCCCAAGGGAAGGTAATCATCTTAGAATAAGAAACTGCTAGAAAATGTTTACATTACTCCAAAGTTGAGAGCTGCAGTTCAGTGTGACATTAAGTGAGAGGTGGAATGTTAAAGAGTGTATTGCCAACACAATACCATTTGCAGAGTGAAGTTTTTTTGGGCATTATGTGTAATTTACTTGCAAGTCTGTGCTCCGCCCTGGATATTAACAGTTTTTTTACAGATAACAATGCTTCCAAGCACTGTGCTGGGAAGTCTGAGGAGGTAAAGAAGTTTTTTTAGATGATCCGATATTCTGCTTCCATCCTTTATCTGCAAGGCAGTACTACCAAAATTTTTTTATCCCAACAGTGTCTCGAGTAGAAATGTGCCATCATTCTTACTCTCCATACATATTTTTTTGGCTCGGAACTCAAAATATGAGAATGAGGAATTATATAGTACTTTTACCAGAAATTTTTTTGAAAGACATATATATATACATGTATGTGTGTGTGTGTGTGTGTGTGTGTATATATTTTTTTATATATATTTTTTTTTTTTTCCCCAAGACGGAGTCCCGCTCTGTCGCCCAGGCTTTTTTTTAGTGGCGCGATCTTGGCTCACTGCAAGTTCCACCTCTCGGGTTCCAGACATTCTCCTGCCTCAGCCTCCCGAGTACCTGGGACTACAGGCACCCGCCACCACACCCGGCTAATTTTTTGTATTTTTAGTAGAGACAGGGTTTCACCATGTTAGCCAGGATGAGCTCAATCTCCTGACCTCATGATCCACCTGCCTTGGCCTCCCAAAGTGCTGGGATTACAGGCGTGAGCCACCGCGCCCGGCCAAGAGAGATCTTTTAAGGACGGTGCAGCTTTTTAGATTGGCCACCCTGGTAGTCAGATTTTCTTTCTTGGGACAATGAACCACGCTCGGCAAAGCCAACAATCTGTCACAGAGCAGTGTCTTCTTTCAGACTCATGGCCTCAGCCCTCTTGTGCAAGTTCAGGGATGTCTCCATCACTATTTTTCCACTTGATCTTAGCCAAAAGGCCAAGAAGCGATGCATCACTATTTTTTCCAGTTTTTTTACTGTCAGGTGCTGGGGACAATGACCTTTGTCCTTAAGGGGATGCAATAAAACCCGAATACTTTATTGAGGAATTTTGCATCGATGTTCATCAGGGATATTGGTCTAAAATTCTCTTTTTTTGTTGTGTCTCTGCCAGTCACGATATTGTGATTCCTTCACTATCCATGAGCAATGTATGTTTCCATTTTGTGTTGTAATCCTATTTATTCGTTGGAACCCGTGTTTTTGTAGTTCTCCCTGGAAAGAGTCCTTCCACATCCGTGATGTAAGTGGGATTCGCTAGGTATTTTATTCTCTTGAAGCAATGTCCGAATTGGGAGTTCACTCATGATTTCGGGCCTCTCTGTTCTGCTTGTTATTGGTGTCATAGAATGCTGTGATTTTTTGCACATTGGATTTTGTATCCTGAGACTTTGCTGAAGTTGCTTATCAGAAGCTTAAGGAGATTTTGGGATGAAGCAACCATGAGGTTTTCGTAGATACACAATCATGTCATCGTGCTAACAGCGGGACAATATGACTTTCTTTTCTAATTGAAATATCCTTATTATTTCTTTCTCTTGCCTGATTAAATTTGGCCAGAACTTTCCCACACTATGTTGGAATAGGAGTTGTGAGAGAGGATCCTGTTTGTGCCAGTTTTTCCAATTGGGAACTGCTTCCAGTTTTTTGTCCATTCAGTATGCACATATCGGATGTGGGTTTGTCCATAAAATGGCTCTTATTATTTGAGATACGCGAGTCCCATCAATACCTAATTTAATGAGAGTTTCTTAGCATCAAGCGCGTTGAATTTGTCCAAAGTGTTTTCTGCCATCTATTGAGGACCTAATCCGTGATTTTTGTCGTGTGGTTCTATTTATATGCTGGATTATGTTTTAATTGAGTTCTGCATATGTCTCGAACCAGCGCTTCGCAAAAAATCAGTGAATAGCAGGATGCTGGCTGTATTTTTTGAAAAGATCGAACAAAATTGATAGACCCACAATACAACCGACTAATGAAAGACAGGAAAAGAGAGAAGACATACAAATCAGACATAAAAAATGATGAGAGGGATATCACGGCGCGATCCCAAAGAAATAAGCAAACTACCATCCAGAGATACTATAAATACTGCTCCTTAGCTCAAGTCAAACTACGAAAAATCGCCCAAGCAATTGATAGAACAGATTCCCTGGACACACATAACTCTCCCACAACGATACAAGCCACGGAAGAAGTTGAATCTCTGAATAGACCCAATAACAGCTCTGAAAATGAGGCAATACAATTAATACACCTTCACCAACACCACAAAAAACGAGGACCAGACGCGGTTCACAGTCGCATTCTAACGCGGTAACCAGGAGGAGCCTGGGTACCATTCCTTTCTGACTACTCCACATCATAGAAAAAGCGGGAATCCTCCCTAACTCATTTTATGAGGCTAACATCATCACTGATACCAAAGC